AAAAAAAAAAAAAAAAAAAAAAAAAAAAAAAGAAAAAAAAAAAAAAGGCAACCAGCTATCCAAAGAACCTCAAAACCACCGACCACGGAGAACAACCGAGTTAAATAAGATAATCCTTTCATTCCTCCTCCTCGACCAGCATCAACGCTGGAGACACACTGGTCAAGAGACCCTAACTCTACCACCACCTTGGAGGCCCTGTAGAACTACATTTCCCGCCCAGGGCAGCCATCTTGGACGGCTCTCATAGAGTCAACCGCCACGAACGCTCCTTCACCACAGGGACCTAGCAGGGGGACGTCCCTCTCGTGCCGCTCCCTTCTGAGAAATGTCTGAGGGCGGGCAGGCAGCCTAACTTAATCTGAAGTCTTGGGTGATGGGAGCTAAATATCGGGTACCAGGGTTACTGGGGAGTCAAAGCTTCTCCAGGGGCGGGCATGAGTGGAACCTGGGTACACGGACGAAAGCTGATTGGCCGTGGCAGCTGCCTGTTAGAGAGAGACGAGCACCTGTTCTCATGTGGGCGGAGCCTTGGGACATGGGCGAAAACTGATTGGCTGTGGCAGCTGCCTGTTAGAGCGAGACGGCACCCACCCAGGCTTATGGGCCGCACTCCTCGGTGCCGCTCGACAAGGTTCGCGCGCGTGTTTGTCGCTCCTTTCCCCCCTGCTTGTGGCGGAGGTGCATGTGGGACCGCGTCCAGGAGACAGAGCCCCGAATATTCGCGCGTTCTGAAGCCACGGTCTCTTGTTGCTGGAGAGCCGAAAGCCCTGCGTACCGCCAGAGGGAGCTGAAGGGCCTGGTCGAAGGCTGCAAGGCCTGGTGGCCCCGCGTACGCAGTCTGCATCAGAGGCGGGGGGGGGGGGGGGGGGGGGGGGGGGGAGCGGGCCTGGCGGGGGCCCCTCCCTGGGGAGGGGGCCTGATGCCACAGAGCCACCGAGGGCGCAGACTCAGAAGTCCCCTTCCCTCTTACTCACCTGAAGACCCTGGGAGGGCTTTGGGCCTCTTGGAGCTTGAAGGCCCGAATTTTGTCCAAGATTCGCCTCCTGCAAGAGCTCATTTATGCCTCAGTAGCTTGAAAATCACAACTCTGTAACATTCATGGCTTATCAAATTTAGGAAACTGCGGGGAATTAGATCCCTGTAGGCTAGTCGGACGACTGCACGGCTTGAATAGCACCTTGTAGCCATGAGGGTTCCAAAAGAGCCCTGTTTCCTGGCAACTGGAAGGGAAACATCGAGGGTCAGTTACGGAAGACTCATTCCAGAGGTGCCCAAGGTCTTGAGTGTTGATTATTAAACAAGAGAGAATTGCTGTGGATTTTAATTGTAAAATAAATGCTATTTTAGCTTTTCTAGGGACTCTGTTAGTTGGTGACCACAATGAAAAATGGAAACCAAGATGATCCGGTACCTGGCACTCTTCACAGGCGCAAGAGCTCCAAAGAATGGCTGGAACCACAGTCGCTTTCTTTTATGGAGGTATAATTGTATGGCTTTTGAGGTCCTTGCTTAGAGAGGTGGTGCCTTATACTAAGTTTGAGCTTTTTTCTTTTCTACTCTAATCCCTTTGCTCTTCATTGGAGAGCTTCTTTTTGTTGTTTTGTTTTTAGAAACAGGGTTTTCTGTGTAGCCCTGGAACTCGCTCTGTAGACCAGGCTGGCCTCCAACTCTCAGAGAGATCTGCCTGCCTCTGCCTCCCGAGTGCTGGATGGAGAGCTTCTTAAAATGCTGTTAGACCCCCGGAAAACTCAGGCCTCCGTGGTCTCAGCCCACGACCGCAGTCACCCCATTCACCAGAAAAAGCTTGCTGCAAACTGCATGAGGCTTTATTTTTTAAGAGCTAACCCCATGTTAGCTCGGGTCTTTCACCCTGTGTCGAAAAACCAAAAAACCAAAAAAAAAAAAAAAAAAAAAAGTTTTTTTTTTTTTTTTCAAAAACAAGTCTATAGCCAAATTTATTATAAAAGAGTAAGAATAGGAACAGAAAATGGAATGCAGCCCTTTTTTAGACCTTGTGTTGTTTTATTTGGTGGCTTTTTTTCTAGGTATAGGTTTGCCTAAGGTGGTGCTATACTCATAGTCTTAAATTAGATGCACAGAGATATTAGTCTGTCAGATTGAGGCCTGTGCATGTCTGTCTTAACCAGAAAGGTAAAACCATCTTACCAGATGTGGGAAAAGCTGGTTCTAACTATAACATGACTCTGGGCAAGTCATTTGACTGTCCTGGGACTCAAAATGCCTGTGAGATGAATTATTTCTTACTCTACAATGAGCTGTAACCTAGAGCAGAAAGATCAAAATAGTCTTTGAAAAAGCACTTAGTGATACAGAAAAATTGGATTTACAGAGAATGCTTCAGGGATATGCCTTTCACATACATAATAAGCACAGATAATGCTAGTGATTTTTCAAGATTTGACTTTTGGACTAATTCTGTTCTTTTAGGCTTTAGCTAAAGAAGATATTGATGCAGCTGTTCAATCAATATTATATAGAGAAAATTATGTAATGAAGGTAAGAATTGCCTACAAAATGCATCTTAGATATTTTTTTTTCATTTTCATTGTAGTATCTACTTAACACTCAAAGTTTTTGATAGTATAGAAAATAGATTTAAAAACACTCATTAGCAATTGGGATTAAATGGAACACATCTCTGAGAGTGTTTTAATGACTGCCAGTCTCCTGTGCCTTGGGGAACTTCCTTCAAGACTGTACAGGTGAGTGCACCTGCCCACACACACATATATACATACCACAGATGCACACTCATAGAATAATATTTCTAGTATGACTTCACTTATATGTTGCTATATTCTCTCTCCTACCACTGTGTGGTATTTTTTATTTATTTTACGAAAATAAAACTTTTTGTTTATTTGTTTTTTGAGACAGGGTTTCTCTGTGTGTCTTTGGCTGTCCTGGAACTCATTTTATAGTCCAGGCTGTCCTTGAACTCAGAGATCCGAAAGGTGTGCACCACCACTGCTGGGCTTAAATAAAACTTCTAATTATTTTTATTGTATATAATGTGTGTATATATGATATGTGTGTGAGCAACCATGCCATGACACACACATGGAAATCAGAGGACAACTTTATGGAATTGGATCTCTTCTTCAACTTTATATAGGTTCTGGGGGTCACACTCAGGTTGCCAGGCTTGAGTGACAAGCTTCTTCACCTGCTGAGGTACCTCACTGGCTGAGTGTATTTGATTTTCAGAAGTGTGAGCATGTTGCCTCCATTGTCCATGCATCCTTGTTTTTGACAGTGTGTGCCAAATAAAGGACTAAAAGATTGAACGATGGGTTATTCTTTTACTCCTCCTTGGTATGAGTGCTCTGCATGTTGTATGGTTGTTGGGAATTGAACTCACTGAGTCATCACTGCAGCCCCCAGTGGTGGGTTATTAAGAATAATTTAAGCTTATGAAATTTTAACTTTTACAAAATTTTAGGACATAAAAGCTTCAGGATAATATTTTTGTCTTTCTGTCACTGATTACTAGGAACTAGATAAGTATTTGTATCATCACGACTTCTTACATGCAAGAAGAAAAGAGATGTTGTATAAAAAATGGGTTGAGCATGTGGCAGATCCTCTACAGAAAAAAATTACAGAAAAAGTTTGTTCACATAAGAAGATTAAAAAGAGGAGACGACAAGAATTAGAAAACTTTTTGAGGCATGTAAATAAGAAGGTACTAAGAGGTTATTTTATACTATTGCAGTATTTAAAATTTATGGTTCTCTTTGTCCATTTGCTGTTTAGTCATCTAGTCATGCCTCTTCCTCTTCTACTTATGTACAATCTATACTCTTGATATAGACAATATATTGTTTTAAAACATTAAATTGTATGTATTCATATATGTGTGCATGTATGTGTGTGTTATGAGCTCTCAGAGAAGTCAGAGTTCTCTTCCCACCATGTTAGTTCTGGGCATTGCACTGAGATGTCAGTCTGGTGGTAGGGCCTTTACTCACTGAGCCATATTGTGCATGAAGTGTGGCATTGATGCACTGGTGTTCTGAAGCGTAAGGCTGGAGACATGTGGAGCTGGGACTGTAACTTAATGCCTCAGGTTTGTCCCTTATGACTGAGGGCAGGGGTTACAAACTGTTGAACTTTTGAGTTCTGATATCCTCAAAATTAATTATGTACTTCTTTCTATGTGCGGTTTTATTTCCTTTTTATAGAAAACTGCATTTATAGAGCATTATGATCCAAAAGAGTATGATCCTTTTTATATGGACAAGAAGGACCCCAATTTTCTGAAGGTAGGCAGTTTTCTTAACTGTGGTGGTATGTGTCTGGTTGTTCTGAGCAGCCTTAACATACGTGCTGCTTGTCCTTGAGTGAGCCCTTAAAGTTCAGTGACATTGCTAGAGTGTTTTCCTGTCTCATATTTTAGAAAGGAATAAATAACCAAAGGCCAAATTAAGTTAATCTCAGAAAATATGAAAATGTTGTATAATAATTGAGTAATAGGAAATATTTAAACATTTTCAAAGACTTTAAATTTTGTTACAGAAGTAATACATTCTTTTGTTTTGTTTGTTTTTTGAGCAGAGTCTTCTATGTAGCATTGGCTGTCCTAGAACTCACTATGTAGACCTGGCTGGTCTCACAGAAATCCACCTGCCTCTGCGTCTCTAGTGCTGGGATTAAAGATGGGGCTACCACATACAGTCTGAGATGTTTTATAATAAATGAGAAAACTGATTTTAAATTAATAGTATAAAAAATTTTAAAAATTCCACTACCCCAAACTGACTCTCTAACATTTTTTTTTTAAATCTTTCGTCATTTTTGTAGTGCAGCATTCTTTTTTTTTTTTTTTAAAGATTTATTTATTATGTGTACAGTGTTCGGCACCAAATCTCATTACAGATGGTTGTGAGCCACCATGTGGTTGCGGGGATTTGAACTCAGGACCTTTGGAAGAGCAGCAGGCAGTGCTCTTAACTGCTGAACCATTCTCCAGCCCGACTCTTTAACATTTTTATATATCTTTCTGGACTTCTTTCTATTTAAAACTAGTTGGTGTTAATCAAATGTTTGCTTTTCTTTCTATATATTAAGCATTTATTCTACCACTGAGCTACAATGCGAGCCCTGCTGTCTCTTAAAGAGGCAGTACAGCACAGACAGGTTATTTGTCAGAGTCATCCATCTGTGAGCTGCAGAGCATAAATGAGTTTCCAGTCATTTACTACACCTTGCTATGCTGTCATTTTTCCACAGACTGAGTATTGCTCTTCTTAAAGATTTTATGATGCTTATCTCTGCAGATGATTTGTGACTGGGAAGTTATTTTATCTATTCCTGTATACGGGTATGCAACCTAAAGGCATTAAGGACATTAGACACTGGTGAGGGTAAAAAGACACAGGAATCAGTTGTGTAGCCTTAGAGTGACAGCATGTGCCTAAGTAGCCAGAACAAGAGCCAGGTGTGTCAGACCACAGAGCAGCAGGACTTCAGAGGGCATTAGTAATATGTAAGCAGAAGGGAGAAAAAGAAGCATTCTCTCAACTAAGGTTCCCTCTTCCCAAATGACCCTGCTTGTGTCAAGTTGACAAGACAACTGACTAGCACAGATGGAGATGAGTGAATGAGGCTTCTAGGGGAGGCATTTTAGAGCAGAGGAGGCCAGGAGATTTCAGGCAGACCCTTAAAGCATGGTTCTGGTCACTAGTGTGCAACACGGATGAGCTGGACCACGCAAGAAGCAGGGTCTACAGTCATACAGTGAGGACACAAGGGGCCATTATGTCCTGGCAGTTGGAGGGAAAGTGAATTTTTTTCCCAAGATAGGGTTTCTCTGTATAGCCCTAGCTGTCCTGGAGCTTCCTGTATAGACCAGGCTGACCTTCAACTCACAGAGATCCATTGGCCTCTGTCTGCAGCATCAAATCTGGCACTGTCTAAGAAAAAATATGGTTGCATTCAGGTAATCTTAGTAACACTAATTTATTAATTTTTTTATATATGTGTGGTTGTACTTGACTGTAATTCTAGCTTCTCCGACTGAGTAGGAATTGTTCTTTGGAGCTATCAACAAGTCATTAGGATTTGTTTCTTTAAAATATGGAATGAAGATCTTGGCATGGTAACACACATATTACGATAAATCTTTCCGCCAAAAGCTGCCTGAGCCCCACCGCCACATGTATGCTTTTCGCCAGCCGCCTGCCTGAGTTAGGCCCAAATGAATATACAGAGAGACTTGTATTAGGTTCAATGCTGCTTGGCCAATGACTAGGACTTCTCATCTGTTAGCTTAGTGTTAATTATCATAAATATATATATAAGACTTATCAGACACCTTGTTGGTGTCCCTCCTGGCCAGTGGATCACATCGTGCTGCTGGAGCAGGAGTGGAGGGGAAAAGGGCATACTTCCTGTTTCCTCGCTTAGATATGAGTCTC